CTCAGCCTTCCAAAGGCGCGGGATTATAGGCTGAGCCACCGAGCCGGGCTCAATCGTTTGTTTCTGAGTTGGAGTCTCACTACACCGCCCAGGCTGGAGTGCAGTGGCACACTTATGTCCACCCCAGCGTTGACCTGCTGGGCTCAGGCAAGCCTCTGTCTCAGCCTTCCAAGTAGCCGGAACTACAGGCGCACACTACCATGCCCGGCTAATATTTTTATTTATTGTAGAGACTAGGTCTTGCCAAGTGGCCGGGGCTGGTCCTGAACCTGCGGGCTCAGGCAATCCACTTGCCTCGGGCTCCCAAAGTGCTGGGATTACAGGCTGGGCCATTGAGCCGGCCCATTTTCAGTTCTTTAAGGGCTCTTCAGTGAGATACTAATTAAGGATCCAATGCCATAAAGCTTGAAAAGATCTAAGGAACTCAAAAGAGGAAAGTGTCAAATCAATGAATCCCCTTTAAGGTATTAAACATTAAATGAATTAGAGAATTTCTGCAATCAGTCAAGAAAAATCGAGCATTTTGCCAAGCTGCCTTAAATGTTACATATATAAAAAATAAAAACCAACAGGCTAAAATCACCTCAGTTGTGTTTGTGAGGAGGGGAGATGGAGAAGGTTGTACTTTACTACAATCCAGAGGATTGCTGAAGTTTCTTTCAGAGCTAATGAATACCTACCCATGCATTCTGAGGGCCATGCTTTGCAAAGACAAAATCCAAAGTCAGAGTTAAACCTAAATAAAGAATATAAATACCTGTAGGCTATGGTCCAGTAGACTGGAAGACTAAATTTCAACTTAGAATGTCATTGATCTCATGATCTCCAAGACTCCGAGAAAGAAAGCACTCAGTAACTTTTTGTTGCACTCAGTTAAACTGATGTACAGAGGAAGCCTGAATATTATATATTATACTGTACTCCAGTATAATGGATAATACTTCTTTGCTCAACCCATCTTGGGTAAATGAAGACAAAGGAAGTATTAGTTAATTACATCTTCAAGGACAGAGTACTCTAAATTCAAAGTGTGTTAGTTAATATTTTTCAATTTTAGTCCAGACTATCCTACTTGTGACTGAAAATGTATTTGCTCAGTAAGCTTCCAGGCCTACCCTCTGGATCGTGAGGAAAAGTGAGCAGTACTGTACTTAGATCAGCCTCTGCCCCACCTTTAATTCTGACATCAGAAAAGGCATCACAAGTAACTCCCTGGAATCACTGTACACAGTGTGAAAAGGAAATTCTCCAGGAGGCCATTCCAAAGACTAACTTTAGTTTTCAGCATATCAATAGACTGGTGAAGGAGAATGTCACCAAAAGACCCCTTCAGCAAAAAGAAATATGTGTTAATATTTTAAGAAAAAAATTATACATGAGAGATGAGCTATCATAATTCAACATTGTAGCAATGGGACTTAGTTACGCTAAAAAACATCTGGCATTTATCTGAAATTCAAATAAAATTTTGCATCTAATATTTTTATTTACTAAATCTGTCAACCCTACATTCATTCTAAGAAAGGATTACAAAGAGGATCCCCCCCCCCAAAAGGAATTTTTTTTGGAGAGCAGGCCCCTTGTAGCTTTTCCTGCTAGGTAAGTGTTCTAGCTTGCATTGTGAGAGGCTTCGTTCAGCTTCAATGATGCTGATGTGGAAGAGGTGAAACAAAAAACAGCAAAAACACTAAAAAGCATCAAAATTGATGAGTTCAAAAACTGTTTTGAGTGTTGGGAAAAACGTCTCAATAGGTGTATCAAATGGAGAGTATTTCGAAGGCGACTGACATTTAAACATGTCAGAATAAATACACATTTTTAAGAAAATTCTGGTTTTTGGGGGGTATCCCTTTGTATATTTTCCTAACCACATAAAATATACGATTCCTAGTTGCAATAGAAATGGTTGTGTCAAATACTTTATAACAATTCAAATTTATTCTGTATTTTTTGAATTATAGGGCAGTAATAATCCAACTATGCTAGGAGATTATTTATAAAATTATGTTGCTTTTAAATTAGTAGAGGATAATTTTTGTGTAGTAAAAATCTACCTATAGCATTGGATATGTCTTACCAATGAACTTTCATTATTGCTAAAGTAAGTTGATGTTGATATGAGCTCAGTTAAATACCCATTATGACACGTACCGCACTTAAGCCCAGAGCAATCACTGTTGCACTTGCTAAGACATTGAGCCACACTGGAAATTTTTTTCTGAGTGTTGCGCCTAGTGAGAAGATGGGCATACCAAGTTTTTATATTTTAGAGTATCTGAAATCAAGAAATTTTGAATGAGACACCAATCTCTTTAACATTGCATTAAAATGTCAAAGAAATATGATTTTCCTAAGAAAGGGGTGAAGGGTGGATTGGAAGATAATATATTTTTGACATGGGAACTTCTAGAGTCCTGGATTACTCAAAATGATTGGATGGCAATCCTTTTTATAATTTTCCTGGTAATTATTTTTGAGGTAATTCTCATAAAACTTTTCACAGCCTTTCAGAAGAGTCCTGCAGCTTCAGAAAACCACAGGTCAGATGCCCAGGAGGTAAGAACAAATGGTTAATTTCCCCCTCCTCTATTTTTCAAAATCATACCTAAGAATAAATTGTACAACTTTTGAACTTTGATATTTAGGTTATTCCTCTAACAGTTTTTTCCCCTCAAAACAGAATGAAGACAGTTACCCGAAAAGCACAAAACTTGGTGAATATTCTACAATTTCATATTTTATCATAAAACTCATTCAGTCTGAGTTTCTTTCATTGACACTGCGACCTTTTTATTCCCATTTAGTCCTAGAGAATTGGCCAGCTATTTGTTCCTCTTCAGAAGAAAGGTAAGTGATATATTTGAAATGAAATGAAATAGGCTGGTTATGTTCTGTTCAAAATTGCACTGACTTCTAAATTTTAGGGAAGGGTTTTCCTATATGTACAGAGGACCCCAGCTGTTTAACATCATGATTTCACCTACCATTTATTTTAAATGGTTGCTATTGCTGTGTTCCAAGCTGCATTAAGAGCTCTCGTTCATGTATTACAGAAATTATCCTTCAAAGTAGGTAGTGTTGTTATTGTTTTACAGATGAGGAACATACAACTTGGAGAGAGTAAGTGATTTGCTTTTCTACTCTAACGCTCCAATACACACAAAAAGTAGTAATCACTAGGTCTTAAAATTCAATTGAAAATGTATTTATTTAGCACCTACTGTGAAACAAACAAACACTGAGCTAATCAATGAAACAGTGACATGAAAATCAGAATTTGCCAGGCATGGTGGCTCTCACGTTTCATCCCAGCACTTTGGGAGGCCAATATAGCAGGGCCACTTGAGTTCAGGAGATGATGCCTAACCTGGGCAACGGAGCAAGACTTTGTTTCTACAAAAGTAAACAAATAAAATAATTAAGTATTAGTCAAGCATAATGATGCATAGTCCCAGCTACTTGGAAGGCTGGAGTGTAAGGATCACCTAAGCCCAGGAGGGTGAGGCTGTGGTGAACCATGGTGCCACTTGCATGCACTCCAGCCTGGGCAGCAGAGTGAGACTCCGACCAAAAAAATAAATAAATCAGAATTTATCAGCTTGCGAAAGATGTCTCGGTGCTGGGGATTAAATACTGACTTCATTACCATTCTTGTTGCTATCAATACTTTAATTGTTTCAATAAAAATGTATTAACAATGATTAGGTATCTACTATGTAGTGGACACTTTTTTTTTTTGTAGTTCCACCATACTTTATTCACTGAATGAACACAAATGATCATAAAACAATCTGTTATTACACAAGGACTTGTACAACAAGTTTGTGTTTTTTCAGTAATTTCCATGGAGACAGTTAAGGTTTTCTCTCGGTTTTTTTTTTTTTTCTTTTATTATAAAGATGTGTTTGATACTGGGATACATATAGTAAGATAGTCTCTGTTCTCGAGAAATTTACATGTATATTCTTGCGGAGATGTAAACATAAAGGATGATTGCCTTGCTGTATACTGACACAGTAATTGAAATACAAGAACATTTAGGAGATACCTAAGCCAGCCTGGAGGTGTTGGATGCGAATGGCTTCACAAAGAAAGTCATGCTGATGCTGAATTTGAAAGGATAAATGAGAATTAGCTCCCCAAATACATAGTGTTAGGAGAATAAGAGCAACATTCCAGAATATGAGCAGAGGCAAGAAACTACAGGGCATGTACAAGAAGCTACAATTATTTCAGACTCGCTGGAATGCTAAGGTTGTGTGAGGGAGTCATAGGGGATGTGAAAAGGTAGGCAGGAGTCAGATGGTGCAGGGGTTTCTTTACCGTATAGAAACTTGGAGTTAATTCTATAGATGAATTAACTCCAATTCGCTGAAGGTGGTTAAGCTTAGGAGTGGCACCGTTTTGCATTTAACGAGGTCCCTAGCCACTGTATGAAGAATGAGTCTGAGGATTACTTGATATGAGTCTTATTTGTTTCATTTGTCAGGGGTACAAAGAACGTATTCATTTAATCTGGTTGCTTTATTGTCATCCTGGCAACTCTAGTTCTCAGGTGGGTATGTTGGGAAGCTGTAACAATAACGAGGTATGGATAGGTAGAACTCTTGTCAGGGTTGATAGGGAACAGGAATGCCAGTGCAAGCTAGAGCACCTCAGTAGTGTAATCAGAAGAAGTCCAGTTGGACAGACCTGGAGCCTGCTTGAGATATTACAGGGGTTAAGTTCACATGTAATTCAAAGCCAGACGATTGACAAGCTAGAGGAAGTCATAAACAGAAAGGGAGAGAGAAAGATTTTCAGCTTCCGAATTAAGGAGACCTCACAGTTCTCCCTTCCTTGTATGCTATTATTCCCTTCTGCCTAGACAAGAGTAAATCCTTTGGGGGCACCTTTCTAGGGGCCATTAGGGGAAAGTAAATGAGGAAAAGAGTGGGAGCTGGTGTTGGGGGGAAAGGATTAGGGAAGAGATACGGCTCCTATGGTGGCAGCATTAAGGTGAAAAAACACAATTTGAACTTAAAAAGGGCTAGCTTTGTATCATAGTTCTGCCGTGAATGATAGCCTTGGGCAAATAACTTAAACTCACCATACTTCGATTTTCTTATTTTCAAAATACAGGTTAGAAGAATTACCTCTTAGGGATATGATGAAGATTAGTTGAAATGATACGTGAAACAAAGCAAAAATATTTCACCCTGGCACCAAAACTTCTTATTTGGGATAACATCTTCACAATTAGTTTTGAAATAGACTGGCATGAATATTGGTAGAAACCCAAGCATCAAAATGGCTAAAGGGCACTATATTAGAGATGGAGGGTATTTGGGGATCTTGCCTTTCTTGTGAAACGGGAGAAGAGAGAAAGTTGGGGCTGGGGGGCAGAGGGAGCAGAACCGAGGGAAATGCAAATGAAATGGTGTGAGATTCAGGACTGAGTGGCATAAAGGATGGAACCACCATTCAGGATCTGAAATTGGGGCTCCCAGCCAGCCAGCCATGGTCTTAGTGAGCAAAGCAAACTGCTGACCTTACATCACATTTGGGGGAGTGGTTTGTTTTAGGGTTGATCTCACCCACAGATGTGTGCTCATGGGAGTCTGTTATCAGTTACCTGACTTTGAAAGCTTGAACTTGTCACTGACTGGTTTCAGAAGCATATTTCCTAAAGGGAGTTGCCATCGATAGATCACTGCTTAGTTTAAAAACACATTTGGTGGTTTTTTTGTTTGTTTGTTGCTCTAACTATAGGACTGCCATTGATTGATTTAATTGATTTGCAGCCAGCTCTGTAATTGATATCATTGGTTGTAGAACTGTAAATCTTTGTGTAGGAGCATGGGGAGTTCTTTTAAAATCTCAAAGGCCAATTGATATTTCCTGGCGAGGAGACGCCAAAGGACATTTCACAAATGAAGAGACATACCTAGTGTTTAAATGGGAGCTGTTTGCATTGCTGTAATCAACTCTCTCCTACTCTGCCTCCAAGTCTTTACTAAAGCTAGCCATGTTTATGAGTGATTTGTGTATGAGGAGGTTTTTCTCCTCACTGAAATTGAGGAAGGGGTTGGGTCAGCTTCTTATCAGCAGTCAGGAGCCTGGAGGTGGAGATGACTATTCAGCAAATATTTACTGAGAGAGCCTACTCTGTGCCTTTGAGACTCATCACAACGCAGATTCCTGACTTATGTTTGGGGATGGGGAGGGTCAAATGATAAACAATAACATAACAAATAAATTATATAATATGTCAGGAGGTGATATGTGCCATCACGGAGAGCTCCACTCACCAGACATAGTCTCAGTGAGCAAAGCCAACTGCTGATTTCACATTAGATTTTGAGGAATGGTTGGCTTCAGGGTTTTCTTATGTTAGGATTAGCTCATGCCCATTCCTAATCACTCAGATATGGGATGTGAGACTAAGTCTAATCATCTGAGGTAGAATGGGTATTAGAGAGTAGACATCCTGGTCATCCAACCCAAATGTTGTCTTAGTTGTAAGGACAGACCTTGCTACCAAAGATTACATGCTAGAAGTAATGGATAGGTAACAAAGATGTGTGTACAGTCTGTATTCGCTTGCTAGGGTTGCCATAACAATATACCACAGACTGGGTGACATAAACAACAGAAATGTATCTTCCCATGGTTCTGGAGGCTAAACGTCCAAGGTCAAGGTATCAGCAGGTTTTGTTTCTCCTGAGGCTTTTCTCCTTGACTTGCATATGGCCACTTTCTTCCTGAATCTTCACAGTCTATTCTTTTCTCTATGTGTGCATGTGCCTGGTGTTTCGGTGTCCAGATGTCTTCTTATAAGGGCACCAGTCATACTGGATTAGGGCCCCAACCCTAAAAGAATCAGTTTAACTTAATCACCTTTTGATAGTGTTATCTCCAAATGCAATCATATGAATTACAGTCCACTCATATAGACCTCATTTAACCTTAATTGGCCTCGTTTCCAGATATGGTCACTTTCTGAATAACTGAGGGTTAGGACTTCAACATATGAATTTTGGGGGAGCATAATTCAGCCCATAACATGGTCTTTATATTAGAGCTTAATAAATGTTCTAAAAATGGAAGGAACTTGAAAACTATTTAACATAGTTTAAATATTTACCAAATATTTGTGTATTATCTGTGAAAAAATGTAATCATTAGAATAACCTAAAACACCACAAATTCTAATTAGCCAAATCCAGATTAATGAGATTTTGTTATATAAGTAATTATTTAGCACAAATAATTTTTATGGTTGGGTAGCTCATGATGAATTTAGCATATTGCCTTTGCTGCTTTGTTTGACTGAGGGTTATTTAAAAGTAAGGTCACACTTCCAGTGAAGTATGAGATAATTTGTGTTCCCCAAACAAATAGCTCCTAGAGTTCATCTGATTGAAATATCTAGTGAAATACCTAAAATGGTTATAATAGCTTGCTTGACATAAGTAACTCCATTTGTTAAAATCCTCCATGTTAACTTCTTGCCTGACCTAAAAATAATGCCCCCACCCCCCCAGTGTGTACATGTAATTTTTGTTACGTTCCCATGACCACAGACCCACATCCTTGTCCCCCCTGGACTGTTTACCCTGACCATTTGAAAATTCCCTTACTACAAATTCTGTGTAATTGTATGCTTTGTTAACTGAAATCAGATGTTGCAACAAGAGATTGTTCCTTGCAAAATTCTCCCTGCCACATCCCCATATTTATTCCTAAATTTTGTTCCCTTTTGTTTGTAGTTCCTTATTCCCTCACCCCCCTGCTATGTAGCCCACTTGCAGTTTTTGCCTTTATAAGTTTCTTGCTTGTTTCACCCAGGATCAAGAGCTTTCTTG